AATGCCACTGTCAAGGAAATAAGAGAATGGGCTCAGGAATACTTCCAGAAAGCATCGTCAGTGAACACAATCCACCGTGCCATCTGCCGTTGCCAGCTGAAACTCTACAGTGCAAAGAGGAAGCCTTTTCTAAGCAAATTCCACAAGCTCAGACGTTTGCACTGGACCAGGGGTCATTTAAAATGGAGTGTGGCAAAATGGAAGACTGTTCTGTGGTCAGATGAGTCACAATTTGAAGTTCTTTATGTAACACTGGGATGCCATGTCATCCGGACCAGAGAGGACAAGGATAGCCCAAGTTGTTATTAACGCTCCGTTCAGAAGCCTGCATCACTGATGGTATGGGGTTGCATGAGCGCTTGTTGCATGGGCAGCTTGCATGTCTGGAAAGGCACCATTAATGCAGAGAACTATGTTCAGGTTCTAGAACAACATATGCTCCCATCTAGACGTCATCTCTTTCAGGGAAGACCCTGCATTTTTCAAAACGATAATGCCAGACCACATTCTGCAGCAATCACAACATCATGGCTACGTAGGAGAAGGATCCGGGTACTGAAATGGCCAGCCTGCAGTCCAGATCTTTCACCTATAGAGAACATTTGGTGCATCATAAAGAGGAAGGTGCAACAAAGAAGGCCCAAGACGATTGAACAGTTAGAGGCCTGTATCAGACATGAATGGGAGAGCATTCCTATTTCTAAACTGGAGAAACTGGTCTCCTCTGTCCCCAGACGTCTGTTGAGTGTTGTAAGAAGAAGGGGGGATGCCACACAGTGGGAAAAATGGACTTGTCCCAACTTTTTTGGGATTTGTTGATGCCATGAAATTTGGAAACAACAGATTTTTCCCTTAAAATGATACATTCTCTCAAGTTTAAACTTTTGATCTGTGATTTGTGTTCTATTCTGAATAAAATATTAGATGTTGGCACCTCCACATCATTGCATTCAGTTTTTATTCACAATTTGTTTAGTGTCCCAACTTTCTTGGAATCCGGTTTGTAAAAACAGGAACATGTCTGTTGGTTTATGCCATGAACTTACCAAATGTTTAAAGCCATTTAACATTTTATTTTTTATTAATTTATTCATTCATTTAAAAGAAACAAAACAGACTCATCAAAAAGAAAACATTGAATGAAAAGAGTGCAGAAAGATGAAAAACCTTATATCTATATTTGCCTCTTATTTAAAATATATAAAATAACTTTAAACAATAACTTAAATTAATTACTTTAATATCCACTTTAAAGCTAGGAATAAAAAGAAACATGTTTTGTTTTAGCAGAATTTAATTCTAACTTAAAACTTATCCAACATTAATAAAACTTACCTCAAGTTGCCTTTTTGGACATGCATGCATATATTTGTACAAATTGTAATTGAGAGAAGATTATTACAGCCTCGTATAAAATCAATGATTATGATGATATCAGAACTGGATCGGTATCGGACGATACTTAGATTTAAGTATTGGGATTGGATCGGAAGTTAAAAAAATGTGGATCAGTGCATCCCTAGTTTGCACACACTGCAGCAGGATTTTGGCCCATTCCTCCACACAGATCTTCTCCAGATCAGCCAAGTTTCTGGGCTGTCACTGAAAAACAGAGTTTGAGATCCCTCCAAAGATGTTCTATAGGGTTTAGGTCTGGAGACTGGCTAGGCCACTCCAGAACCTTGATATGCTTATTATGGAGCCACTCCTTTGTTATCCTGGCTGTGTGCTTCGGGTCATTATCATGTTGGAAGACCCAGCCACGACCTATCTTCATTGTTCTAACTGAGGGAAGGAGGTTGTTCCCCAAAATCTTGCAATACATGGTCCCAGTCATCCTCTCCTTAATACAGTGCAGTCGTCCTGTCCCATGTGCAGAAAAACACTCCCAAAGCATGATGCTTCCACCCCCATGCTTCACAGTAGGGATGGTGTTTTTGGGATGGTACTCATCATTCTTTGTCCTCCAAACACGGCGAGTGGAATTAAGACCAAAAAGTTCTATTTTGATCTCATCTGACCACAGAACTTTCTCCCATGACTCCTCTGGATCACCCAAATGGCCATGGACAAACTTAAGACGGGCCTGGACGTGCGCTGATTTAAGCAGGGGAACCTTCCGTGCCATGCATGATTTTAAACTATGACGTCTTAGTGTATTAGCCACAGTAACCATGGAAACAGTGGTGCCAGCTCTCTTCAGGTCATGGACCAGCTCCTCCGTGTAGTTCTGGGCTGATTCCTCACCTTTCTTAGGATCATTGATAATCCACGAGGTGAGATCTTGCATGGAGCTCCAGTCCAAGGGAGATTGACAGTCATGTTTAGCTTCTTCCATTTTCTAATAGTTGCTCCAACAGTTGATCTTTTTTCACCAAGCTGCTTGGCACTTGCCTCATAGCCCGTTCCAGTCTTGTGGAGGTCTACAATTTAGTCTCAGGTGTCTTTGGACAGCTCTTTGGTCTTAGCCATGTTAGTAGTTGGAGTCTTACTGATTGTGTGGGGTGGACAGGTGTCTTTATGCAGCTACCGACCTCAAACAGGTGCTTCTAATTTAGAATAATAAGTGGAGGTGGACTTTTTAGAGGTGGACTAACAGGTCTTTGAGGGCCAGAATTGTTGCTGATTGGCAGGTGTTCAAATACTTATTTGCAGCATTAACACACAAATAAATTATTAAAAATTCTTACATTGTGATTTCAGGATTAAATTTTTTTTTTAAGATTATGTCTCTCACAGTGGACATGCACCTAAGATGAAAATTTCAAACCCCTCCATGATTTCTAAGTGGGAGAACTTGCAAAGTCGCAGGGTGTTCAAATACTTATTTTCCTCACTGCAAAAGTAACATAACAGTAGCTAAAAAACAGAGCATAAAACTTACAACAAAGCTATCCTGATGCAAGCTCAATAATCCAGGCAAAAAAAATAAAAAAGTTAAGTCTGGTCCTCTGGATGGGTTAAAAAAAAATAAATAAATAAAAATGTCGAAACGTTTCATCTTTCATCCGAAAGACTTCTTAAGTATGAGCCAAAGGATGGACCAGCACTGAAGATCAACATCATCAGGCCAGGACTCTGCGGTCTACACATCTCCAGGCCAGAGGTCACTCTTTCAGGGATGAAGATGTTCACATCCTTGATAGAGAGGAGTAAAGGAGGCCATATTTGTGAAAAGAAACCGGCCATCATTAAACAGGGGCGGAGCCTCCGTGTTCAACTGTCCCCCTCTTACAATGCTGCTATTGTTAATATCACTCAGCCCCCTGTAAATAGCAAACAGCCACCAGCGTGCCAATGAACCACTGATGGTCCTCCTTGATCCTGTGAACAGCTTTGTTGTGAACCAACAAACTGGTTGATCCACTATAGTCCTTCTCAAATAGTGGGGCGCGCCCCTGTGGGGGGGCCCGGAGCAATGCCGGTGGGGGGGACCATGTGACCCCGGGGCAAATTTTGCGGCAGGGATTAGTTTTTTTTTTTTTTTGCACCATTTTCATTGTGTCAGGGTGCGTTCGGCAACTGTTTGCTAAAATCCAGCAACTCACAGATTCACTAATAAAGTTATGAACAAATCTGTCTGTCTTGTCGTTTGCGGAGCCATGCTTGAACCGTGTTGCTGTGACACCTCCTCAGCTGGTGACGCTCTGGACACTTGTCACCCACAGCACGCATGCGACAGACAAACTCAAAGCTAGAGCGTTACCTGCCCCTCTTCCTCTTTTACTTTAAAAAAAGATAAAAATTGTGCTTTGACAAACTAAAAAAAAAATAGTTAAATACAGAAGTAATGTTTAATAAATGTTAGGACTCTATTCTTTGGTAACAAAATATATTTTGTCATTAAACAACTTGTCAGGTTCTTCTCTTGTGAGCGCATTTCCCTGAACCGCTCCCCACCCTCACCCAGCTCGCTCACTCTTGCGCTCTTTGCAGTTTCTATGCTGTTGCAGCTCTGAAGACCAAGTCCAGGTCCAGCTAAACACCGATCAGGAGCTGAGAGTTACAGGATCATGTTTCAAACTCCACTTCAAAAATCCGTGCACTGCAAAACGTGCTCACTGTAGCCATTAACCCTGACTTCTTCATTTTGATTAAAAAAAAACACCCAAGACAAATTGTTTTATTCATTTTTGTTTTGTAGGTCAAAGTGTTGTATATAACACTCCTGTCTTAAAATGTTGCTGATCAATTTGAATTTATTATTATTTTATTTATTGTATTCAATTTGATTGTTCAGTATCAAATGGTCAAAAATGTTTATAGTTTAAATAAGGATATATATATATTTTAATTTCAGGCAAATTGATGCACTTTTATAGTCTGTAACAGAAAAGGCTTAAACAATGTTAATAATATTTGTTGTAAGTTGATCTATATTTCTTTATTTAATATTAATAAGGGTACAATGTTATGCAGAGGTGTATTTATAAATTTTTTTTTAGACAAATCATACTATTTACAGTCGTGGCGGAGAGTTAGGGGGTCGCGAAATGTTTACTTCTTCCTGGGGGGGGGGGGAATAATTGAGAAGCACTGCACTATGAGAATGTGCTATTTATAAGACTGAGTTGAATACATCCTTGATGAAGAAGACTGACTTGAAGAAGTCTATGACTATGAAGAAGACTTTCGGAGGAAAGACGAAACGTTTCTACAGTTTTTTTGAACCCGTCCAGAGGACCTAACTTTCTTGGATTAAAATAAAGCTGGTTATAAAGAGAATGCTTTTAAAATATCTACAAGTTTAACAAAATATTTGCAAATAAAGTTTTGATAATGTTTAAAAAATATATAAATTATAAAAGCTAAAATGTTCATCTCTTGACTGAGAAACATTTTTAGTTATCTGAAGCACAAAATCCCATAGAATGTGCTGAAGTATATTACAAAAACAGGTTTTCTGACTGCTGACTCAGAATTCAGAGGAAATAATTGGATGACATTATAATTATTGTAATTATTATAATTGGATGGCATTATTGTGACATGAAGTGGACCAACCTGCTGCAGGTCGAGCACCCTGGGCTGTACCCAGGTCATCTGCACCTTCTGATCCACCTCGTCAATGTTCCCTTTGATCAGCCCCACAGACAGCGCCTTCATCACCAGCAGCTCCACCTGCAGGACAGCAGTGATCAAACAGGAAACTGCACCAGGATTAGTTGCTGACTTCACAGTCTGCTTCAACCAACCTCATTCACAGAGATTTCAGCACTCTGAGCAATCTCAGCGAAGGTGAGCTGTCTGTGATTGGCAGGGCGAGTGAAGGTCATCTGTTGAAAACACAAACATGAGCAAACACCAGTGCCTCGGCTCCAAGTTTCAGCTCCTACAGACCACAAAGGATGCTCCTTACCTCCATCACACAGAGCAGCTGGATTTTCTGCATTAACTTAGCTTCATGTGCTGCTAGGTCAGGCTATGATTGACAAGAAAAAGTATTTAATCAGCTCATTTGCTCATCTCCTGTACAAGTTTTCATCCAGTGCCAATACCTTTCTTGTAATCCTTTAAAATGGCTTCCTGAAGGTTCTTTCTTTGACTTTGGTTGCTTTTTCACATCTTTTTAGTCCATTACAGGTCCTTCTCAAAAAATGAGCATATTGTGATAAAGGTCATTATTTTCCATAATGTAATGATAAAAATGAAACTTTCATATATTTCAGATTCATTGCACACCAACTGAAATATTTCAGGTCTTTAATTGTTTTAATACTGATGATTATGGCATACAGCTCATGAAAACCCAAAATGCCTGTCCCAAAAAATTAGCATATTTCATCCCACCAATGAAAGACAAGTGTTTTTAATACAAAAAACGCCAACCTTCAAATAATCATGTTCAGTTATGCACTCAATACTTGGTCAGGAATCCTTTTGCATGAATGACTGCTTCAATGCGGCGTGGCATGGAGGCAATCAGCCTGTGGCACTGCTGAGGTGTTATGGAGGCCCAGGATGCTTCGATAGCGGCCTTAAGCTCATCCAGAGTGTTGGGTCTTGCGTCTCTCAACTTTCTCTTCACAATATCCCACAGGTTCTCTATGGGGTTCAGGTCAGGAGAGTTGGCAGGCCAATTGAGCACAGTAATACCATGGTCAGTAAACCAGTTACCAGTGGTTTTGGCACTGTGAGCAGGTGCCAGGTCATGCTGAAAAATGAAATCTTCATCTCCATAAAGCTTTTCAGCAGATGGAAGCATGAAGTGCTCCAAAATCTCCTGATAGCTAGCTGCATTGACCCTGCGCTTGATAAAACACAGTGGACCAACACCAGCAGCTGACATGGCACCCCAGACCATCACTGACCGTGGGTGCTTCACACTGGACTTGTGGCATTTTGGCATTCCCTTCTCCCCAGTCTTCCTCCAGACTCTGGCACCTTGATTTCTGAATGACATGCTAAATTTACTTTCATCCGAAAAAAGTACTTTGGACCACTGAGCAACAGTCCAGTGCTGCTTCTCTGTGGCCCAGGTCAGGCGCTTCTGCCGCTGTTTCTGGTTCAAAAGTGGCTTGACCTGGGGAATGCAGCACCTGTAGCCCATTTCCTGCACACGCCTGTGCACGGTGGCTCTGGATGTTTCTACCCCAGACTCAGTCCACTGCTTCCGCAGGTCCCCCAAGGTCTGGAATCGGCCCTTCTCCACAATCCTCCTCAGGGTCCGGTCACCTCTTCTCGTTGTGCAGCGTTTTCTGCCACACTTTTCCCTTCCCACAGACTTCCCACTGAGGTGCCTTGATACAGCACTCTGGGAACAGCCTATTCGTTCAGCAATTTCTTTCTGTGTCTTACCCTCTTGCTTGAGGGTGTCAATGATGGCCTTCTGGACAGCAGTCAGGTCGGCAGTCTTACCCATGATTGTGGTTTTAAGTAATGAACAAGGCTGGGAGTTCTTAAAAGCCTCAGGAATCTTTTGCAGGTGTTTAGAGTTACGTCGTTGATTCAGATGGTTAGGTTAATAGCTGGTTTAGAGAACCTTTTCATGATATGCTAATTTTTTGAGACAGGCTTTTTGGGTTTTCATGAGCTGTATGCCATAATCATCAGTATTAAAACAATTAAAGACCTGAAATATTTCAGTTGGTGTGCAATGAATCTGAAATATATGAAAGTTTCATTTTTATCATTACATTATGGAAAATAATGACCTTTATCACAATATGCTAATTTTTTGAGAAGGACCTGTATGTCATTACGTTCAGTCCCACTGTTTTTGAATTTAACCACTGTTCCGATAAATAGTGCAGACATTAAAAGGCTCCTGAACACACAAATACACTGCCTGGCCAAAAGAAAAAAAGTTACCACCTGGATTTAATTAAGCAAATAGGTCCGAGCCTCCTATTGGATAATTACTGCATGAGTGATTACCTTTTAGCTGGCAACAAGTTATTTAACCCCAACTTGTGCAATGAGTTGCTTCTCATTTCTTACACAACCATGTGGAAAGACACATGGCGTGGTTGTGGAAAAGATGTCAGTCTGTTTGAGAAGGGTCAAATCATTGTCATGCATCAACCAGAGAAAACATTTAAGGAGATTGCAGAAACTACTAAAATTGGGTTAAAAACTGTCCAACGCATTATTAAAAACTGGAAGGATAGTGGGGACCCATCGTCTTCCAGTAAGAAATGTGGCCCAAAAAAAATCCTGAATGATTGTGATCTGTGATCAATTAAAACATTTCGTGACATCAAATTTAAGAAAAACAACAGTAGCACTCAGGGCTATGTTTAACAGTGAAAGTAAGAACATTTCCATACTCACAATGTGAAAGTAACTTAAGGAATTGGGACTGAACAGCTGTGCAGCCTTAAGAAAACCACTAATCAGTGAGTAACTGAAAAAAAGGCTTCAATTTGCGAGGGAGCATAACGATTGGATCTTGAGCAATAGAAGAAAGGTCTGTTGTCTAATGAGTCCAGATTTACCCTGTTCTAGAGTGATGGGTGCATCACGGTAAGAAGAGAGGCAGGTGAAGTGATACACCTATCATGCCTAGTGTCTAGTCATCAATGCAAAATCTTGGTGAAAAATTAATGCAACACAGAATGGAAATAGATCTTATGACATTGAAGAAGCTTATCGAAACAAAGCTACAGTGAATGCATGCCGTAATCAAAGCTAACGGCGGTCCAATAAAATATTAGTGACAATTTTTTTGGTGGCAACTTTTTTTTTTTGATCAGGCAGTGTACTATTTTCTGCCTTTCTTTATATCCATTTTTGAAACAACTCCAGAACAGTGAATCAGATTTTAGCTTTAACAAGTTCAATTCAACCTGAAAACTAGTCGAATCATGAATTAATAACTGAAGGCCTCTTTAGGGTATTTTGTTGGGGCGGCTGTGGCCGAGTGGTTAGAGCAGTCATCCTCCAATGCAAGAGTTGGGGGTTTGATTCCACCAGCAGTCACATGCCGAAGTGTCCCTGGGCAAGACACTGAACCCCTCATTGCCTCCGATGCGTGTCACATCGGAGTATGAATGTGATAAAGTGCTGATTATTCTTTGTATAGATATAGTAAAGCGCAGTTTGAATGGGTAAATGAGGGCACATATTGTAGTGTAAAGCACTTTAAATATCTTGATAAGACAGAAAGGCGCTATACAAGTACAGTCCATTTACCATTTGTTCCCAACAGCATAGAGGGTCCGACTCTTACAAACTGTGCTCTGCAAGCAGCAGACGATTTTTGTTTTCTTTTTAACATGCCTCTCAAAACCTTTAGGGTTCCACAGCTCTGGAAAGAGTCCGTTATTGTTCCAATCCCAAAGACCAAGACTGTTAGTCACTGAACGACTTCAGGCCCTTTGCCTTGACTTCATTAGTAATGAAGTAATTCAAAAAACTGGTCCCAGAGACCGTCTTGACTAAAGTTGAAGATCATTTAGACCCACTTCAATTTGCTTATCGTTCACGTAGAGGAGTGGAGGATGCCAACATGAACTTGTTTAAATTTGATTGTAGAACACCTTGAAGGTACAAATACATTTGTAAGATTGCTTTTTATTGACTTTTTATCTGCTTTTAATTGTATTCAGGCCCACATTTTAGCAGATAAATTACAATGCCTGTACGGTCTCTCGACTCTGGCCTCATATGTTGGCTTGTGGACTTTTTTAACCGTTTGTTCTCAGCGAGTGTGGGTCAACGGGGGTCTCTCTGTCCTTCTGTCCTCTACCAGTTTCCCTCAGGGCTGTGTTATTTTGTCTTTTTTTATTTATTTTACAGGTGCTAGTCATAAAATTAAAATGTCATGAAAAAGTTTATTTATTTCAGTAATTCTATACAAAAAGTAAAACGTGTATATTATATTCATTACACAGACTGACATATTTCAAATGTTTATATCTTTTAATGTTGATGATTGTAACTGACAACTAATGAAAACCCCAAATTCAGTATTTCAGAAAATTAGAATATTGTTAAAAGGTTCAATATTGAAGACACTGGGTGCCCCACACTAATCAGCTAATTAACTCAAAACACCTGCAAAGGCCTTTAAATGGTCTCAGTCTAGTTCTGTAGGCTACAGAATCATGGGGAAGACTGCTGACTTGACAGTTATCCAAATGATGACCATTGACACTTTGCACAAGGAGGGCAAGACAAAAAACGGTCATCACTAAAGAGGTTGGCTGTTCACAGAACTCTGTATCCAAGCACATTAATAGAGAGGCGAAGGGAAGGAAAAGAATAGATGAGGTAGGAAAAAAGTGTACAAGCAATAGGGGTAACCGCACCCTGGAGAGGATGGTGAAACAAAACCCATTCCAAAATGTGGGGGAGATTCACAAAGAGTGGACTGCAGCTGGAGTCAGTGCTTCAAGAACCACCATGCACAGATGTATGCAAGACATGGGTTTAATCTGTCGCATTCCTTGTGTCAAGCCACTCTTGAACAAGAAACAGCGTCAGAAGCGTCTCGCCTGGACTAAAGACAAAAAGGACTGGACTGCTGCTGAGTGGTCCAAAGTTATGTTCTCTGATGAAAGTAAATTTTGCATTTCCATTGGAAATCAAGGACCCAGAGTCTGAAGGAAGAGGAGAGGAACAGAATCCATGTTGCTTGAGGTCCAGTGTTAAGTTTCCACAGTTAGTGATCGTTTGGGGTGCCATGTCATCTGCTGGTGTTGGTCCACTGTGTTTTCTGAGGTGCAAGGTCAACGCAGCTGTCTACCAGGAAGTTTTAGAGCACTTTGTGCTTCCTGCTGTTGACCAACTTTATGGAGATGCAGATTTAATTTTCCAACAGAACTTGGCACCTACACACAGTGCCAAAGCTACCAGTACCTGGTTTAAGGACCATGGTATCCCTGTTCTTAATTGACCAGCAAGCTCACCTGACCTTAACCCCATAGAAAATGTATGGGGTACTGTGAAGAGAAGGATGCGAAACGCCAGACCCAACAA